TTTTTTTTTTTTTTTTTTTAGGGGAAAGGCCTTTCATGTGTGAGACCTGTGGGAAGAGCTTTGCCTCCAAGGAATACTTGAAACACCACAACCGGATCCACACGGGATCCAAGCCCTTCAAGTGTGAGGTTTGCTTCCGGACCTTTGCCCAGCGGAATTCCCTCTACCAGCACATCAAGGTCCACACAGGTAGGCTGTGCCCCTTTTCTTGGACACGCAGACCCCTCAGCGCTCCAATATTCCAGCGAGGAATTCTCAGCCAGGCTTTCCCCCGCCGGGGCACCGCTCCACGTGTTGTGTTCTCCCCTTCTCCCACTGGTCCCGAGGGACAGCGTTCCCTGGGGTGCTTCCACAGGCCGTGGAGGTACCTCGGTGATCTGCCAGGATCGTGGGGGACCCAGGGTTTAGCTCCCGAGGTTTATCCAGGGAAGGGGGAAAACGGGATCAGTTTCCTCCCAGCGGGGAGTTTGCGGTGTGCTGGGAGCGATCCCGGGGCTGGGAACAGCGGGACAGTGAATAAGGGGGAGGAATACTTGGATTCTGGGCAGGACTCGGGTCTCCAGTGGAAAAATCCCTGGGAAATCCATGGCAAAAGGCAGCAGGGCTTTGTGGGGCTGGGAGGATGGAGAGGGCAGGACGTTTTCCCTGGGCCGGCGTTCCCAGCCCGTGTCCCGTGGCGCGTTCCCAGGGGAGCGGCCGTACTGCTGCGACCAGTGCGGGAAGCAGTTCACGCAGCTGAACGCGCTGCAGCGGCACCACCGCATCCACACCGGCGAGAAACCCTTCATGTGCAACGCCTGCGGCAGGACCTTCACCGACAAATCCACGCTGCGCCGCCACACCTCGGTACCGCCAGGGACGGCGGGAGGGAGCCGGGTTTCATCCTCCTTTCCCCACCCTTTGTTTTGGGGGAGGTTGGGAAGGCTCTGCCGCGGTTTGGCCGGGGGAAGCTGCGGGTGCTGGATCCCTGGAATTGCTCAGAAGGAGCTTGGACGTGGAGCAGCAGGGAGGGGGGAGGTTTCCCTGCCCGTGGCGCTGTCCTTCCAACCCAACCCATTCCACAGCCCCAAAAACCTTCCCTACCGACGCCGAACGCGAGCTTGATCCAAACTTTTCCCGGGCACCTCATCCCCAGCCTGCTCTCTCTCTGCCGGTTATCCCTTTGCAGATCCACGATAAGAACACCCCCTGGAAATCCTTCCTCGTCATCGTGGAAGGAGCCGCCAAGAACGACGAGGGGCACAAAACGGAGCTTCCCGACGAGGAATACGAGGTGTCCCCCAAAATCCCGGACAAGCTGCTGGCCTTCCCAGAGAACAGCCCCTACCAGAGCCTGGCAGCGGTGCCGGGAAGCGGGAATTCCAGCACGGAGCGGAAGGGCTCCGGAGCGCAGGAATCCCTGCTGGGAGAACTCACCGTGCTGCACGCGCAGACGGACTCCGGGCAGCCCCAGCTCTGTTCAGCCCTGGTGAACATGGAATGATTCGGGATTGCCTCCCGCTCCTTAGGCTGCAGCCCTTGGACAGTCCCGGGCCTGAGGGAGGCCGGTGGCGGGAAGCTGGGAAAGAGCGGATTTCCAGCTTTCCTCTGGACATTCCTTCCCCAGCTCCATCTCCTGGAGGTCGGGCAAGGTGGCACCGCACCAGGGAACGTGTGGGAGTGGATTCCCCGGGAATTCAGGTAGCTCGGTGGTGCAGGTGTGTTTTCCAGGGAATTCGATGCCACGTGGACAATCAGGAGAAGCGATGTTTCTCCCTGACATTCGCTGTGTTTTCCCCGGTGGAATTCCATCCAGGAAAAGTCTGGCTGCATTTGCTCTTCAGGAAATGTTGGTTTCTCTCTGCTTTTGCCAAAGATCCCAAAGAGTGGGAGCGGCTTTGGAGTTCCATTCCAGGAGGTTGGAGTCTCTGAGCAGCAAAACAGGGCAGGTGGCAGCCAAGTGCTACTTCCATGGTTTTACAATTCCATGGAAACTGGAGCAGTCTGGCACTTGGATCCTGCCAGTTCTCACCTTCCAGCTGCTCCCAGGGAATCGGGCACTTAGGAGGCCTGAACATCCCCTGGAATAAAGTCTGGGAAAAGGAGCTGTGCTGGGAAGGGCTCGGCTCAGAGGCTTTTCCTGCTCCTTTTTAGTGGAATGGGATTTGGGGGGATTTCCCCAGGGCAGGGGAGGAGCCTTGGGAGCCTTGTCCAGCTGGGCCCGCTCCCATTTTTTCGGAGCAGCGAGTCCCTGCTGCGGTTTAACGCTCCAAACCTCGGGATGGGCTTCCCAGAGGAAAAACCCGCAGCTTTTCCCATTCCTTTTCCCACTCCTTTGCCTGTTCCCGTGGTATTCCCCCAGCGATTCCTCAGTGAAGCTGTGAGCAGAACTTTGGGAAAGGGAAGCACAATCCAGCCCGGTGAGACCCAGCAATAAAGGAACCCCCCCCACCTGTGGCACAGAGCTGGTTTTTGGGATAAAGGGATGGCGGAGGCGTTCCCAGGGAATTCTTAAGCGAGAAAAAAAGGGAATTTTTGTACCAGAGGACATTTCCAAGGGGTTATATTTGAGATACTTATTCTTCCTGCTGGAGCTCAGTCATTCCCAGTGGAAGGAAAGGGGTTGTAAGAATAGTTAAAGGCTGAGCACTCGGATCTGGAGCCGGGGAATGTTTGGTATTCCGGGAACACAGGGAAGCGAGTAACTTGTTTGAGCTGTTCCTATTAAAATACGGAATATGGAGACCTCATCCGGTGACTCAGTCGCGTCCAGTGGGACACTCTGGGATATGGAGAGGCTTGGGAAGTTCACCTGGAGAAGAGGAGGTTCCCTGGAAACCTCAGCAGGAAAAGCGGGAGGGATTCTTCGGCAGGAATCGCAGTGACAGGACAAGAGGCAGGGAATGGCTTCCCAGGGACAGAGGGACAATTCAGCTGGGATGTTGGGAAGGAATCCATCCCTGGCAGCGTTCCAGGGGCTTGGAGCAAGCTGGGATGGTGGAAGGTGTCCCTGGATGAGCTTCAAGGTCCCTTCCCACCCGAACCATTCCAAAGAGGAATGGAAGGAATGACGGCCCCTCCCAGCCGCCATCGTCCCACCACGCTCCAGCCTCAGGAGTTTTCCGGAAGAACCAGTTCTGCCTCCTTCCATCCATGATTTTCACTTTATTCATGTACAGAGTCACACCAAACATGATATTCTTGCTAAGGCCATTTCCTTAAATAAGTTTTCCGAGTAGAGAGTGATGGAAGTGGGGCGGGAATACAGCGGGAGTGGCGGAATTATCACCTGGGAACCGTCACACTTCACCATGGATACAGCGGAGGACATGCTGGAGCTACTCACACACAACTACCGGGTGTAGGGATGGAGTAACAGCCCTCCTGCTCCTCCTGTCCCACGACACCGGCGCAGGGAACGGCAACAGAACCGAAAAAACACCGGGAAAAGCGGAGCCTCCCGAGCTGTGCTTCCCCTGCTCCCGGCTCCCACAGTGCTGGACGCCACACAAAGCCATTCCCAAGGGTGGGAATGGATGAATTCCAGGTGCTTCCAAGCCTGGAGCTGGGAGATCCCCCCGCCCCGCCTCCCAAGCCCGGGCTTTTCCATTGGGATGAACACAAGGACCTGTGGGAAATAAAGAGATCGGGAAGGGCGGGAAAACACCAAAGCGAGGGGAATTTAATTTGGCATGGATCGGAATTTTTGGTTTTCACAACTTCAGAGCCCAACGAGCCAAGCTCTGTCCAAAGCCCAACATTCCAACCAGACTTTTCCAGAGGAAAGGGGGGCTGGGGCTGCCTGGAGCCTCTGGAACAGCCTGTAATTACTGACTCTACTCTTCCCAAGGAGTGAGGAATTGCACAAACTCCCGACGCCTCTGACACATCCCTGAAAATCCCGGCCGCTCCATCCTCTCTCCTTAATCACGCATCCACCAATTCCTGCGGGAATTTCTCAACTTTTCCCAAGAAAACTTGGCCCCAGCCACCCGAATTCCAGCCAGGCTCCTCCCGCGGGATCAACACCCGCGTGCAGCCGAGGGGTTGGAATTCAGGGATCGTGCCCGGCTCGCGCGGAGGGCGAGGTACAAAAATTCCACCTTCCTCAGAATTATTTGGGAAGTGGAGGGATGGGGATGCACCACCAGCTAAAGTGGAAAATCAATCCAAGAAAGATGGAAACCAACCAGGACCTAGGGCCGACACGGATCCCGGCGCTCCTGGAATGCCTTTGGCGCGGCGGGGGTGTGCGGGACATTCCCAAATCCCAAAGCCTCTGGCTAGCAGCACTTCCAGACCCCCACATCCAAGCGTATCCAACACTCGGGAACGGGAAAACGGGAACACAGCGGGCTGGAAGCGCTTATCGGTACTGCGCTGGCCTGGATGGAATATTTACATGCTGGAAATTACAGCGGGAAAACCGGGAGCCGCGGGTGCAGGCACCGGGATGAGCGGGACCGATCCCGAGGAAGAGGAGGAGGAGGAGGAGGAGGAATTCCGCTCCGAGGGCTTCTCCTGCCTCGCATCCGCCCGGAGCGTCACAGAGCGGGGGCTAAAGAAACACAGTGAGCCATGGGAATGGGAAGCGACGAAAGAAAGCGCGGGATTGGGTCGGGAATTCCCGAAAAGTCCTCGGCTGGAGGCGGGAAGGGCCCGTGGGGGTCACTTGAGGTCGCCGTCGCCCTCGCCCTGGATGGTTTTCTTGATGCGCAGCAGCATCGTGGTGAGCCACTGATCCAGCCGCGAGATGGAGTCAAATTCCTTCACCTGGCAGCGGGAAAAAGCGGGATCAGGGAGCGGCGGGAAAGGGAACGAGGCAGGGATGGGAATGGGAGATGAGTGGGCTCCTCCTGGGAATAAAAGGGAGGGAAAGAGGAGAGAAAAGGGAAGGGGGAACGGAAAGAAGGACACTAAAGGGAAAGGGGGAAAAAAACAAGGGGAAAGGAGGGGAAAGGGACAGGAAAACAAAGGGAGGGTGGAAAAGGGGAAGAGAGGAAAAAGGGGAAGAAGAGAAGAAGAGGAAGAGGGGAAAGAACCAAGCGGAAAGAGGCGGGGAAAAAAGGGGGGGAAAAACGCAAGCGGAAAGTGGGGAAAAACAAGGGAAAGGAAAAAAATGGGGGAAGAAAAGGGAAAAGGGACAGGGCCACATTCCAGAGAAAAGCCTCTCCAAACCCACCCCGAGCACTTCAAGCTCCTGTCAAACACTGAAGGAGCCACAGCAATCCCAGGCAGGATGTGAACTCTCCAGGAAAACCCGGGAATGCTCAAGGAAGAAGCCGGGACCTCGCTGGAGCAGTTCTGTCCCCCTGCCCCTCTCCGCAGGTTCCCAAATACTGAGCAGGGCATGGGCATCCCAAAAAAGAGAAGGGAGAAGCAGCATTCCCGAGGGAACCCAGGAGTACTCACTGCCTCGGTGTAGGCCTCGCTGTTCTGCTCCTCGTGAGCTTCCAGCAGTTTCTGGGAAAACACCAGGAAAAATGAGGGAATGCTCTGTTCCTGCGTGTCCCCGCTCCGGGAACAGCACCCACCACAAACAGGGTTCTGGGCCAAACCCGGGGAAAAGTGAGGCTGACGTCCTCTAAAATGCTGGGATAAAGGAGAAAACCCCTGGAAAAGTGGGAAAGCCCCCTGGTTACTCACTTTCAATAGCTTGCATTCCCGGGAATCTGTGAAAGCCGGGAACATTTCTTCGTATTTCTCCAGCGCAAGCTGGAAGAGAGGAGAGATCCCTTCACAGACCATTCCCATTTATTTTTTTTTTCCCCAGGATTTGCTTTCCCATCCTCAAACTCGGGAAAGCGTCCACCGGGAATCCAACGCGACAGCGGCACGTGAAGAATTCCAGCCACTGCTGAGGGGGGATTGGGAATTCTGGGATAACTGACCTTGGCATTCAGCTCATCCACGATGAAGTGGCACAGGGCGGCTTTGAAGAAATATTCCTTGGCGCTGTACTTGAGCAAAGGGTTATCCATCGTGTTTGTTCCCACCTGGACAAAAAAAAAACGTGGAAAAAAGGGGCGGGAAAGGAAAGGCTGGATTAAACCAATCCAAATCCCACCCTGAGGCTGGGAATAAAAGGGGGAAAATGGCCAAAAAGCCGTGGGGAAGCAGGGAGGTTTTGAACTCAGCCCAAGGGAAGCCGGATCCCAGCAGGCTGATCCCTGGTGGATGAGGAAATGGGAAAACAAATCCACTTGGGGAAAAAGCTGCTCCAGGATTAACCCTGTGGAAGCACCAAGCAGCAGTGCCGGTGTTGGCAGGTAAATATCCAACGGAAGGCGGAGCTGACAAATCCGGGAGGGAATTTTCTGCCAAAGGGAGTTGCAAGTACATTCAAAGGGGAATTCTGATGGATTTCTCCCAGCCTTTTCCTGGAAACACTGAAAATCATGGATCTGGCGCTCGGGGACACTCGGGGAGCAGCGGGACTCTGACCTCAGGGAGCTTTTCCAACCTAAACAATTCCCTGATCCCGGAGGTTTTGCCAACGCCCCCGGGCCCTTCTCCTTGGGAAGAGGTGCTATTCCCGCGGGATTTGGCTCCCGACCTGCTCGTAGATCTCGATGGCTTTCTGGTACTGCTCCAGCTGCGCCGCGTAGGCCGCCACCTTCAGCAAACACTTGTTGGCTGAGCTGCAAGCACATCCCGAAAATCAGGCCCTGGATCCCGGGAATTCACCAGCCCGCAGCCCAGCAGCCCTTCCCGGAGAGAAAGGCGGGAACCCACAGCTGGGATTTAGAGGAATTCTCTTGGAAATCAGCCCAAATGGGAAGTGTGGCGGTTGTGGGAGCGCCCGGGATGGATCCCTGTTCCAGCCCTTCCCGCCGATCCCAAGGACTTGCCTGTTGGATTCCTCTCCCTTGTAATAATCCGCGGCCTGCTCGTAGTGCGCGATGGCCTGGGGACAGAAAGGTGGGATGGGTTATCCCGGGATAAAGCACCCCAGGGAACAGCGCTCCAGGAGAGAGACGGGATCCAACGGAGCGGAGCCGAGGAAGGAAATCCCTGCCTGGAAAACAACCCCTACATCCCGTCGGGTTTTATCCTGTGAAATTCCAGCAGGAGATCCGCAGCGGGATTCCTGCCCGGGGAGCCTGGCAGTGGGAATGAGGGAATCGGTGCTGAGCTGGGAGCTGAAGGTGACGGGAAATGGCTCCGTGACATTCCCCAAGCGCTTTTCCAACGGGAAACACTGGGGTGGATTCTCAGCGGAGCGCTCAGCCCGTGCTGCTGGCACAGGGACACACCAGAGGGTGCAAATCCCTTGGGATTGCTCCACCAAAGCCTCCAGGCCGGGACAACCACGAACTCCAACTCAGGGCTGGACTGCACCAGGAATTCCAGTGCTGGATGGGAGATGGGAATTCCTGAGCTGAAGGCAAGGAAATCCCAGGATGGCTTGGGTTGGAAAGGACCTCAAAGCCGATCCACTTCCCCTGGCGGAACACCTTCTGCTATCCCAGGCTGCTCCAGCTTGGCCTCGGCCGCTTCCAGGGCCGTGACAACCACGGGTTTCCCGGGAAAGCTGCGCCGTGACGTCAGCGGCGACGTCAGCGGCGTCCCCTCACCTTCTCGATGTCCACCAGCTCGGCCTCGTAGATCTCGGCGATGGTGATGTGGTGCTTGGCGGCGATGGTGAAGCGGCCCTGGGGACGGGAGGGAAGCGGGATGAGGCGCGGCGTTCCCGGGAAGGCGCGCGGCGTTCCCGGCGGCGGGGCCTTACCATGTCCGTGTAGATATCGATGGCTGCGTTTAAGCAGTTGATGGCCTCTGCAGCGTGCGTGAGAGACAAGAGCGTCAGCCACCTCCCGTTCCCGCATCCCGGCCGGCTGCTGCTCCGGGGAACGGCTGCCCACGGAGCGGGCTCTGCCGGGACCCCGCCCCAGCACCCCGAATTCCCAAAGGGAACCGACACCGGGACCATCCCAGCCCGAGTTTGCCGCCTGCGTCCCCCAACGGAGCCGACTTCAAGGGATCAGCTCCAAAACGCTGCCGTTTCCCAGGGAGTTTGGGAGTTTCACCATTCCAAAAGGGTGTTATCCAGCCCTGGCTCCCGGGATAACGCTGCTGGAGGTGGGGGATTTGCTCCCAGAGCTATCTGGGGAAAAGCGGGCTGGAGACTTCCTCAAAAATCACAACCCAGCTGAAAGAATCCCAGATCCTTTATTCTCATCCCAGGGCTGGGGAAAGCCTCAGGAATGCGGATCCCACCGGGATCCACCCCGAAGCCATTCCTCTGGAAGCCATTCCCTAAAGCCAAGCCGAACCGGCACGGAAGCTGCCAAAACTCCCAACGCCCTGCAGCATCCCGAATCCCAACAAACACCAAGGGGAGATGCCAGCACGCTGCTGACCTCCTGCACCATCCCAAAGCTCCCGGAAAAGCGGGAATGCACCTCTGCCACCGCTGGCCGGGAGCAATCCCAGATTCCGCCGCCTTACCCTGCGGATCCGCTTTTTTGTAGGCGTTCCCGGCGTCCACGAAGCTGGTGGCCGAGTCGTGCTTGCTCTGGAGCTGCATGTGCAGCTTGGCCGCCTGGCAGAAGGCATTTCCTGCCGCTGGAAAAGAAGGAATACCAATCCCGCGAATCCCGGGAGCGGGAACGCGCGGCTTCCGGGAGCCGGGCAGTTTTTTCAGGATGAGGCCTTCCCAAGCAGGATCACCAGCTGGCATTTTTACATTCCTCCAAGATCCTTCAGCTCCTTCCCAGTATTTAAATAGGAATTGCACGGACAAAGAGACCGTTCCCCAGGGAATAATTCACAGGAAGACATTTGGGCGCTTCCCAATCCCCCCCAGATCCCAGGATTTGGACTCACCACTCCAGTTTTTGGCGATCTTGAACATGTTGGCAGCCCTGGTGTACATCTCACAGGCCTCCTCCACCCGGGTGTTGCCCCTGGAACGCAGCGGGAACGCTCCTGAGGCCGGGCCGGGAGGGAACACGGCTCCGGAGCCAAAACTGGGATTGGGAATCTTGGCCTCTCCAGGCTGTGTGGGGCCGATCCCACCCCACCATGTGAGAACACTGAAAGGGGGAATGCTGGATTTGGGGGCTCTCCCGGAATTCCCAGATGCCAAAGGTCAGATTTTTGGTAAGGAAATGCAGATTTATTTTCATGGATACCCTGGGGAAAAAAAAAAGAGGCTCTGGGGGGAGCTCCCCGCTCTCCATAACTCCCTGACAGGACCCAGGTGGGATCCAGCTCCACTCCTGCAGAACGAAAAGGAATCCCAGGATTCTTAAGGCTGGAAAATCCCTCAATCCCATGAATCCAACATTCCCCCCTGAGTGCTGCTCTTCAATCCACCTCACAACAGGGGTTATTCCATTTTCTTTTTCCCATCCCTTGGGAATTCTGGCGCCTCTCTCCCCTCCCTCTCTCCCTCTGGCAGCCGAGCACGGTTGGTTTGGAAGCACAGGCAGGATTTTTGGATCCCTCCTTGCCCTTGGAAGGCGCCTCTGGCACGAGCCAAAGCCAACGGAGGCGGCAGCGAGGAATTCTACACCCGGAGAGGCCCCAGGAACTGGGCAGCTCCCAGCCTTTCAATCCCAAAACACTGGAAATAAAGGAATATCAGCTCCTGTGCAAGGTGCTGGAGGAATTCCAGGAAGAGCCCAGGTGGGAAGAAGGCATTTGGCCGGCGCTGGGAGGCCTGGACATCCCGTTGGCCGGGAAGAAGCCGAGAGCCGAGTCACCCCCGCAAACCTTTCCTCCCTGTTTCTTTTTATTTTTTTTTTTTTTTTTCTTCTTCCATCTGTTTTTAGCCCTGAAAATTAAAAATTCCCCTCTCGAAATCTCTGCCCGTTCCCTGCAAGGATTTTCAGGAATTTGCCGCCCGGATTATGCCCCTGGAGCAGGCCCTGGCTGATTAATCTGCCGGAGGCCGGAGAGGAATTTCTATTTAAAACTTGTGGATTTTAGGGCGGCCGCAGCCGATTTTTCCGGGCTGATGGATAAAAACCTCCCGGCCCTCACAGAGCATCGCTCCGGGAATGTTCTTTCCTTAGAAAAACAAAGGAAAAGCGGGAGCGAGGTGGCCGGAGCATCCCGATTCCAGACACACGGCCAGGGAACAGCGAGCCTGGAGCAGCCAGGCCCAGGGAAAAGGACGCTCTGCCATTTTCTGGGATAACGCTGCCGGTGCTCCCTGGGATTTCGGGAGAGCCCATCCCTGCCCGGGAGATGATTCCCGCCGGGATAAGGCCGGGATGAGCGCGGGCCCGAGGCGGGGAAGGGACGGGAGCCGCAGAGGCCGAGGGCGCTCGCCACATCCCTGGGGCCATCCCTGGGGCTGCTCCAGGGGGATCCGGCCTTGGAGCGGGATGGGAGGGGGCTCCCTGGGCCACCCCCCGGACCTGGCACGGATAAGGAAAACCCTCACCCACACTGGGGGGCAGGAGTTGAGAAAAGGGGGGGAAGAGGTCGGCAAGGGGAGGATGGAGGAGATGGGGAAGGGGGGCAGGAAATAGGGAAGGGGGCGGATGGAGGAGACGGGGAAGGAAGGGATGGAGGAGAGGGGAGGGGGCCAGGGGCTGATCCAGGAGCTGGGAATGGGGTGTGAAGGGGGGCAAGAGCCGGAAAGGGGGGTCCAGGAGCCGGGGAAGACGCAGGAGATTGGAAGGAGGATGCGGGAGCCGGGCAGGGGGTGCGGGAGCCGGGCAGGGAATGCCGGACACGGGCAGGGAATGCGGGACACGGGCAGGGGGTGCGGGACACGGGCAGGGGGTGCGGGAGCCGCTCACCCGAAGAGCCCCCGCAGGAAGGAGTGCGAGCCCTTGACCCGCTTCTCGGCCTCCGCCATGAGCTGCACGGCCTCCCGCTCCTTGCCGGCGCTGTCCATCGCTCCCGCTTTTCCGGCTCTCCTTCCTCCTCCTCCTCCTCCGCCGCGGCAGCGGGAGCGCGGCGGGCGCGTGCGCGGGGCGGGGCGGGGCGCGCGCGGGATGCGGGATCCGGGATCCGCCGGGAACGGGGATGGGGAAGGGGCGGCTCCTCCCGGCGGGCGGGGCCCTCCGCTGCTTGCCCGAGGGGAGTGCCTGCGGGGGCTGTGGCGGGTCAGTGCTTCTCCCGGAGGTTGTTTATGGCGCCCCGCGCGTTTGCCAGGGAATTACCTCACCTGTAACGCGGGAGAGCTGAAGCTCAGGTTCCCGGGAGGGCGGCTACGCTTTCCCGGGAATATTCCGCGTCTGGAGAAGGGTCACCTGTGTCCCGCCGCCGTTAGCTGGGGCGCACATTTGTGTTGTTCAAAAACTCCCCTGGAAGGAGTGAGGCTTGTACGGGGAAAACCGGGATATTCCTGCCTGATCCCGCCTCCCGCGCGCGCCGGGCCCGAGGGGAGCCCAGCGCCCCGAGCCCGCCGAACTACAACTCCCGGCGTGCCCCGCGGCCGGCGCGCGCGCCGTGACGTCACCGCCCCGCGCCCGTTATCTCCATGGCGACGCTGGCGCATCCCGGCGTCGCTCCCATGGGAACGGCCCGCGTGGCGTCCCGGGAGCCGCGGGAACCGGGGGAGAGGGACCTGGCGCTGCCCCCGGCTCCGCTGTCCCGGATCCCTCCCTGTGAGGGAATGTCGGCTCTGCAGTGCCGGGAACAGCCCGTGGCGATCCCCCGGGAAAGGCAATCCCGGCTCCGGTGTGCCAGGAATTCCAGGTGAGTGACCTGGATTCGGCGCTGGGCGAAATGAAAGCCGGGAGCGTTTCCCAAGCCAGGGACTGCCATCCCCATCCAAGCTCTCTGAGAAAACCGGGAACTGTTCCACACTGGATCCAAATTAACCCCGAAGTTTTTTTCCCTTTCCCAGCCAGGACAACATGGAGCGTTTTTCTCTCTCTGAGCTCGGGCTCCCAACAGAAAACAAAGCTATCCAGGGAATTCTCTGTCCCATGGCGGTGGAGCTCTGCCACCTCCTCCTCGCCCTGGAAAGGGAAGATGGGATTTGTCCAGCCTTCCCCAATTTGGGGGAAAAGGCGAGAGAATTGGCCAAAGCAATGGAAGAACTCGCTGCTGTGGCGAGGAGGTGAGGTGGATGGGAGTCTCCCGGGTGGATTCGAGGGCTGGGAAGAGACGGAAAAGGTGGCAGGGATCCCCCTGGAGAGGTGGGATTGGGAGCAGGGGATAGCCAGGAGAGCTGAGCCCAGTCCTTCCCTCGCAGGATCTCCGAGGATTGTGGCGCAGGAGGGAGCACGGAGCTGTGTCCCGCGGGTGAATCCCTGCTCCGGGCCGGGAGGGACGTGGCACTGGCAGCATTCCAGCTGCAGAAGCATCCTCACAGCCCTGGGCACCGCCAGCAGCTGGCAGCGGCCGCCAAGAGGAGCCTGACGGAGACAGCAAAGGTCAGGGGCACTCCGGGAAGGGACACGAGCAGGGGAAGCTCTGGCAGATCCACGGAGCCAACCGCAGCTCCTCCCTGCTCCAGGGGTGGAAGGGGAACGGCATCTCCTGACCTGAGCGGTGTTTCTGCCTTGTTTCCTGCCTAGATCCTTCAGCTGGAAGAGGCTGCGGGGCTGAGGAGGATCGCTGGCGCTGCCAGCTGGCTCCTGGAAAGCCTGAGCGAGCTGCGGGACGCCCAGGATGCTCCAGGGCTGCTGGATGCGTTCCAGGCCTTCTCCGAGGCCCTGCTCCGGCTGAGCCGCCTCACGGCCCAGCGCCTCCAGCTACTCGGAGACTGTCCCAGAGGGAAGAGCTTGGCCCAGAGCCTGCAGCTGCTCCACCAGTGTGTCCCGCTCATCCACACAGCCCTGCCACGCTCCAGGGATCGCCAAGCTGACCTCTCCCAGGATTCTGTTTTCCAGCTGACCGAGAGCACCGTCAGGGGGCTCCTCTCCCAGCTCACGGAGCCCCAGGACAGGAGTGGGATCTTCTCCCAGCAGGTGAGCAGGCTCCAGGCTCTCCTCTCCCAGCCCGACGCCCTGCGCCTCTCCGAGGGCGGGTTCAGCTCCCTCTTGGAAGCGGTCATTCTCCATGGAATGCTGCTGGCAGAGTCATCCCGGCTGGACCTGCGGCTGGAGCTGCTGGAACGTTGCTGGGTGCTGCTGCAGCTGAGGAGGAGCATCCTCAGCCACACGAGCCGGAGGCAGGGGGAACAGGGACTGCAGCGGGAATGTCACAGCCTGAGGGTGCAGCTGGAAGACCTGGAGCGGGCAGCGCTCAGAGCCACGCTGTGCCAAATCCTGGATGGATTCTTCAAGGAGAAGGAGCCCCTGAGGCTGCTGCTTGAAGGTGTCCTTAGCCTTGCCCGTTCAGGACGTTTTCCTGCAGAACCAGGAGGAATTTTAAGGAAGCTCCAGCCCCTCACTGCCGCCTTCTTCGCTCAGGCCCAGCGGATGCTCCGAGCGGCCGATCTGGTCCTGGCCGGGTGTGCCGAGGCCCAAACCGCCAGAGAAATCCGGGAGGGCGCGGAGCAGCTGCGGAGTCTCCTGGGCAGCCTCCCTTCCCTGCTCACGGAAACGAGTGGGAATGCCACGGAGCAGCTCCAGGCCCTGGGCCGTGCCTGGGCCAGAGCCACCGACGGCCTCCTGCGCTGCTTCGAGGAGACGGTCGGCGTGAGGGAACTCCTGGAGTTATCCATCCTGGAGCTGGCCGAGCACAAGGAACGGTGCGAAGCGGCGCTGGAACGCCGCGATCCCGAGGGATTCTCCCGGCACGCCGCTCGCCTCACAGGCTGGGCGCGCTGGGTGGTCGGAGCCGCCTCCCGGCACGTGGACAGGGCCACGGATCCCATCTTCAGGAACGGCTTGCTGGTGTGGGTGGAGCAATTGGCCAAATCCATCCTGGAGCTGAGAGCAGTCACGGCCCTCATTCCGGGAAGGTTTTCCTGCCTCCAAAGCCGGGATGCCTTTTCCCAGGCAGCGAGCTCCCTGATGGACTCTGCTCTCCGTGTCCAAGCCGGGCTGGATGGCTCCAACCACCCGGAGATCCTCAGCCCGCTCCGGGAGCGAGTGCGTAGCACCGAGGTGGAAGAGGGGCTGGAGCTCCGGTCCCACACTGGGATACGAACCAGGACGGCTGAGGCAGCGTTCCAAGGAGATCTCCAAAGTCATCCATCTTCACCACCAGCTAACTTCCGCCTGGATCCACGGGAAGGGGAAACACACCCTGTCATCGTAGCTCTCCTGGCAGCATCCCGAGCCGGTGCCAGGGACGCTGTCCGTGCTGCTTGCTCCGTCCTGCTGGAGCTCTCCGATGGCTGCGTGGAAGCAGCACGGGAAGCGCTGCCCGTGGCCGAGCCCCCGCAGCTCCAGGTGCTGCAGCAGCACCGGGATATCGCGGCACTGACCCCACGGATCATCAGCCTGGCCACGAAAATGGCCCCCGGGCAGCTCCCTGCTCCAGGCAGGCTTCTCCAAATGGCACTCAGGCTTTCGGGAAGGATCCGGGAGACTCTGGAGTGCCTGGCGGCTGTGGCAGGCCTTTGGAATGCTCTGGCCCAGCAAGTGCTTGGATTTATCCTGGCGGGTGACTTTCCAAGAGGGAAGCAGGCTCTGGATGAGACCCTGCTGGGTTTAGCGGGAGCAGTGCAGGTGGCGGGAGCCATGGCGAGCATAGCCTGCGGTCAGGAAAACCCCAATCCCTCCCGTGGCCAGCAGAGCTTTCTGCAGCTCCAAGCCAAGTTTTCCCGTGCTCAGCTGAACACCAAAGCGTTCCTGGAGAAGGCAGCATCCTTCAGGGAATCCTGTGGGATGGAAAAGGCCGTCCTGGAGCTGCGCGGCGTCCGGTGGGCCGTTGGCATGCGTGTCCTGCTGGATGCCATGGATGGGTTCGTGGGCAGGGATGTCCTGTTCCTGGCGGAGCTGAGCAGAGCTGTGAGGAACAAGGCTGCCCCACGGAGCCTCCTGCCTGCTGTGGCTGAGAATTCCCTCAGGCTGCAGGAGGCTGCCCGCCTCTCCTACTTATCCTGCCCTGGGGACCACGGTGCCAGAGAAATCCTGGCACTCCGGGAGGAGATCCAGGTGCTCATGGAAGCGCTGCTGGACGTGTCCAACACCCTCCTGCTCTCCCCACTGCCTACTGCCAGCTTGGCCATCCGCTTCGAGCTGCTGCGAAGGGACGTGGCCCTCAGGGCCAAGGCGCTGTCGCTCCACATGGAAAGGGTCAACATGGAACAGCTGCAGCTCATCCAGGACGTGGCTGGAGCAGCTCTGTCCAACCTCAGCCAAGAGGAGAGGGAGAGGAGCAAGGAAGGGTTTGAGGAGAAGGCAAATCGGCTCATGGCTGATGTCCAGTGGGTCAGGAACACCCTCCGGGATGCTCTGGAGGCCGGTGCTCAACTTGGGTCACAGGCTGACCTGCTGTCCGTGGCTGACCACCTCCTGCTCCTCACGGCTGACCTGGTGGAAAGTGTCCAGCAGCACTTCAGGAGCCAGCAGGACACCGGGGATCCCCTCCTGGACACCGGGGATCCCCGCCAGGACACTGGGGATCCCTGCCAGGACACCGGGGATCCCCTCCTGGACACCGGGGATCCCTGCCTGGACACTGGGGATCCCCGCCAGGACACCGGGGATCCACTCCTGGACATTGGGGATCCCCACCTGGACACTGGGGATCCCCGCCTGGACACCGGGGATCCCCTCCTGGACATGGGGGATCCCTGCCTGGACACCGGGGATCCCCTCCTGGACATGGGGGATCCCTGCCTGGACACTGGGGATCCCTGCCTGGACACTGGGGATCCCCGCCTGGACACCGGGGATCCCCGCCTGGACACTGGGGATCCCCGCCTGGACACCGGGGATCCCCGCCTGGACAGCGCGGTGTGGTACTGGTCAGCCAAGGCACACTACCTTGTCACACAGCTCCGGGTTATCCCTGGAATCAACAGGGATGTCCTGCGGCGCCTCACGGAATGCCTGCAGCGGGAACACTTCCCAGGATCACCCAAGGGCACAGCCGCACTCTCCCCAGCTCCAGAGCCCACTCCAGAGGCAGCAGGAATTCATCCACGCGGGAGCAGAGGAGCGAGTGGAGCCGGGCGGGAAGCGGGTGAGCCGGTATGGAAACTCTTTTTTCCCTGTCCGTCATTCCTGGCGCTCCCAGCACGGAGCAGGAATGTGAGGGATGCTGGCAGGGCTGACCCTGGGCCACTCGGGCAGCTCAGGTTGCTGGCAGCCCTGGATTCCTGGACATCTGATCGGCCAGGCTCTCCTACATCCATCCCAATCCGCCATTTCAGAGGCAGGGGGGCTGCAGCACTCTCCCTCACCGCCTCACATTCCCTCTGGAACCAGCAACTCCATTCCCATGGGTGTCAGGAGCTGGGAAAGGCTTTGGCACAGACCCAGGTCCCTCAGCAAAGCGCTGTAGGGCTCTAATTGTGCCGGGAATTAATTACAAGCTGTCACAGCTTGCAGGACACCCTACTCCCAACTTGGAGATGGCTCCAAGGGCTTTGGATTTAGGGAGAAGGGCTGGTGGGAAGGTGGAGTGGACCCAGCAGGGGGTGAGCAGCTCTCCCACCAGCTTCACTCACCAAAATCTCCTTCAGAAACACCCAGCTGGAGGAGACCACCCGGCATCGCCGTGTCCACACATTCCAGGCTTGGAATCTGCTCCCTTCCTGTCTCCACAGCACCAGGACGGCCCTTCCAGCATCCCCCCTGCAAAGCAGGAGACAGGAAACCATGGCAAGTGGCAGGGTGGCCCCAGCAAGGTGTCCCAGGTGACCCAGGACATGGCCACGAGGATGCTCCACATGGCTCAGTTCCTGCGCAGGAAGGGCCCCATTGCGGTAGGTTCATCCCTCCCGTTCTCCCGTAGGATCACGGCAGCTCCATCCCAAATCCTTGTGTCACCCAGCTCCTGGGAGAGTGGCACCAGCTCTGTGCGAGCAAAATACTCCAAATTCTGTCCTCCTGGCTGGATGTGAGCTTGGCATCCTGTCCTTTCCTCAGGATGTACCTGAGCCTCCTGGACCCTTCCTCGTCCTGCAGGAAAAGCTTTTTTCTGAAAAGCTTTTTTCTCCTTCTCTCCCCAATCCCACTGATTTTTATCCCGTTCCAGAGCAAGGAGCAGTTTGTTGCCTGTGCCAGACGGATGGTTTCCGACGGGCAGGTGGTTGTTAGGTTTGGGAACATCCTCGCCAAGCACTGCCTGGACCAGAGGTGCTCCACGGAGCTGCTCCGCGCTGCCGAGCACACCCAATCCATCGGCAGCCAGCTCGCCATCGTGGCCAGGTGAGCTGGGATCAGCTCTCCAAGGGCATCCTACAGGAATCCCTTCTCCAGGGAATGCGGGTGGTGGTCCCCAGAGCTCCTAGGGGAGTGGGTATTGGCCAAGAGTTGAGGAACCATTTGGAGGCCTCCCTTCCCTCCTTGGGTTTCCCCGCTCCGATGGCGCAGGGGACGAGCTGGGTTTGGAATAACAACGCTGTCAGAACGTCCAGTGTCCTTCCAATAAAATCCTTTGGAATGTCTTTGAAGGGTGAAGGCAGTGACTGGGGAGAGCAGGGCCTCCTCTGAGCTGCTGCTGAGCAACGTGCAGAACCTCATCCAAGCAGCCCAGCATGTCCTGAGGGCGGCCGAGGCGGCGTGTGTCAAAGTGAGTCCATCGTGGAATCGATCCCAGAATTATTGGGGTGGGAAGGGTTGCTCCAAGGCCCCGTCCAACCTGGCTTTGAGCAGTTCCAGGGGTGGGGCAGCCACAGCTTCTCTGTGCCAGGGCCTGCCCGCCCCGCACAGGGAAGGGTTTCTCCCTAACGGCAGCAATTCCACGCTGCGGGAGCTTCTCATCCAGGTCTTTCTATGGGAGCTGGGATCTGGCTGCTGTGGGATTCCAGCTGCATCAAATATTCCTCCTGGAATTCTTTCATCTTGTGCCTTTCTGCCTCAGGCGTTGCCTGTCCTTGAAGTCACCTTGACCTGGTCCATTCCCCACTTAATTTTTGGCTCGTAGAGCACCTTTTCTTTGGAATTAGTCCATGCTATCCTCTTTAATCCCAAAAACCAAATTCCCAAGAGTTCCCCATGCAGCTGCCATCAAGTCTGTGGCAGCAGATTTTTCCAGAAAACAACTGGAAAACAAGTGCAAACACCACCAGCCTCTTCCCGAGGCAACAATTCCACCTGAATCCCACGCCACCGCTTTTCCTGGGATCAGCGTCTCTTCCTGGACGCAGGATTTTTAGAATCCCATTTGCTGAACAATCAGCCCCAAGGGTGACAAAGCTCCTCCCGTGCTTAATTAAACTTAAAGCTTCCTCTATTTGCCCATTTTTCACTTTGCTGATGCCAGCCTGGAGTAATTAATCTATTTTAAAAAAATAATTAATTAATTTTGACTATCTAGATCCCCAAGTCCTTTATGACCTGGAGATTTCCCTTTGGAAAATTCCCTGCTTATCAACAAACTGCCCTCCTTTCCTGTCCCTGTAGGAAGCTTTGGAGGCATTCTGAAGCACTGAGAGGCAGCGATGCTGTGTGGATCACGTGCGCATTCGGCACTTCCAGACTTTTCCATAATTTAGGATGCACAGGGATGAATTAAAGCAATTCCTTTTCCCAACAGGGTTTGGGACAGCCCTCAGCAGACCCTGAGGAAGAAGAAGTTGCTGCTTTCTGCCAGCAGTGGAGGAAAAACCTGACCCAGCACAGAGCCAAGGAGGCTTTAAATTCTGACCGGGATGAATTAGGGCTCCGGAAAACTCGAGGGGCAAAGGCTGAGCCCACCCTGATGTCTCTGGTGCAAGAGCAACCCCCCTGGAGCAGGAATGTCCCAAAGCACCCCAGTCCTAGGAAGGGACACACAGTTATGGACAGACACCTGTAGCCCAGAGAGGGGCTCCGTGGCGCTGGAAGCAGAGCAGGAATACTTTGCAGCGTGAAGGATTCACGCTGGAATTTTCCACCGCGGCAGGAAAACCTCGGAACAGGCTCGGTGGGGAGGCCAGGAATCTTCTGGTGAGTGTTCTACCCCCAGCTGGTGAGATGGGGTGGACGGGGCTTTGGAGAATCCTGATCCAGTGGGAGGTGACGGAGGTGTCCCTGCCCATGGCAGGGGGTGGAATGGGATGAGTTTAAGGTCCCTTCCCATCCAAACTGTTCCAGGATTCTGTGATCCAGAGATGCTCGGGCTTTCTGCCATCTCTCCACCTTTCCTGCTTCACCCAGCCATGGATGCAGCAGTGGGGAGCGTTCTGTCTCACCTGCTGGCCCTGAGCCTGCAGATTTCCTCCCAAAATCCCACTGGGCCCCAGGACTCTCTCCCATCCAGAGTAAACATTCAGTCCCCGAGATCGCCTACCTCACAGCTTCCAGAGTATCCCAGACTGCTGCTCCTCTGTCCTGGCTCTCCACATCCATCCTTCCCAGGCTCGGGATCACGAGCTGCCCGATGGCAGCGCTGCTCCGTGCTGGAATTCTGCAGGAGAGGTGGAAAGGAGCCACCGTGGAATTCCCTGTGGAATACACAACCGGCACAGCAGATCACAACTGGCTCCATGGTGGCTGCAGCCCATTCCAGCCCCCCTTGGTGTCCCACCTGCATCCCAAACACCTTCCCCCGACCAGGAATTCCACTACTTGCGCGGCAGCAAGGCATCTCCTCCGCATTCCCAGGAAAAGCAGCAGCAGGCACACCGGAGACTCTGGGAAGATAACTGCAATGGATAAAGCAGGAGGGGAGGGAAGGGAGGGAAGGAAAGGAAGGAATTACACATGGAGACAACAGGCTGTGAGGACTCGCAGGCCTCCGTATCCATGCCATTTCCACACTATTTTTCCCTGCTGGCTCCGTTTTTTGAGGAAAACCTCGAGCAGCCACTCCAGGGAGTGGATGAAGAAATAACAAACTACTAACAAAGGACTAATGGATTACTCCAAGACAACCACCCAGTTCCACGTCCATTCTCTACTTCTCCTACCCAAAGGAAATCATGAAATCAATGGAATTCACGCTCTGGGAAATCAGGGAGGCAAAGTGAAGCCGGGATTGCCTTCGGAGATGGCTCCTGTGCCGTGCAGGAATCGCCAGCTTCCCTCGGCTCATCCAAAACCTCGGAACTTGGGATAATGACTCTGCAGGCAGCACGTTTTTATTGGAAAGGCAGCTGGCTAGGAACAACTGCACTTCTTCCTCTGGAGAAAAAGCAGCCCCAAAGGCAGGACACACAGAGCTCTGGAGGCCAGCTGTGCTCTGCCATGCAAAACCTGGGCAATCCAAGACACGCAGGACGCTCCGAGACGGAACACGGCAGCTCCCTCCGTGAGACCTCGGGATCAGGTACGAGGTTACGTTAAAACCCCACAAACCATCCCGAAAAGCCCGGCTCTAGTCCCCCACCGGCACGCACACGGAGTCGTCACCAGGAATTAACTGTACCCTTTTTAATTGTTTTGTTAAAAATGTCGTCGAGACACCATGAATACAAGTACTGCAGTTACAGCCATACAAAAAAAGCAATACAAATTAAGCAGCTGAATACAAAAATACGTTGAAATACATGAACACCACAATGGAACTCGGAGCACTAAATCCCAATCGTGTAGGCGTGGAAAAAAATTAAATAAAAATCTTTTTTTTTTGTTTTTTTGTTTTTCCTTTTCGTATTAGACAATGTAGTTTTCTCCACTTTGAACAGTTACTTTTGCTAGTTATGTACTTCACAATTTCTTCTATGTACAGCATAGAATAAAATACTTTCAAAAGATATGACATTTTTCATCCTCAATATGTGATATAGTCTCTTTTACACTAATATCGACTGCAGGAATAAAAACTGTCCGTGTCTTACATCGACTCATTGGAAAAGGAGGAGCGACGCTTTCCTCTGGATTCATTTCCGTGGGGTTTTCCATCAGTTCGGGGGTTTGGCAGTCCTGGAACGGCATCTCTCCCGGGAATTCATGTACATAATATTGCTTGGATCTATACAAATGTGGCAATCGGATCTAAGTGGTGCTTGGGAAAGAGGCAGCTCACACATATACAGCTCTGGGAATTTTCCATGACTTATTTACAATGAAAGTGCTTTTCTCAGCTCTAACACGATCCGGGGGGGGAATTGGTTTTCCTTTCTACAGGTCAATTATTAGTCTCCCTGAAATTGGAAAGAAAAAGGATTCTCTAGAAAATACCACAGCCTTGCAAACACTCGAGCGTACTGGAGAACTGCATGTGGTTCGGAGATTAGCAGCTGAAAAGTGGTGGGAATTATAATTTAAAAATAAATAAAGCCAAAAGAGGTAACCCAGGTACAAAACAGCAGAGAACTGCAATACCCACGACGGTAAAAAGACTCCAAAGCCATCTGCTAACAAAACGGGGAAGCGGTTGGATCGAAAGTCTTGAAAACATCTTTTAAGGATTTGTCATCTGACTCCCCGTTGGGATCGCTCTCCGGGGCCTGCGTTACCTGTCCGGGCTGCCTCACCTGCCGGGGGTCGCTGTACTGCGGCCGGATCAATCCCGACAGAGCCTGGATCGGGAGATTGTGGACGGCAGGAGCGGCGCTGGAGTGTTTAGCCTGAGATTTATTGGTGCTGTTCGCCTTGTCTGAAGCGCCTTCCGCTGATCCTTCCGTGGCTTTTTCCGCGTTGGAGGCGGCCTTCTGCTGGGACGCGTCTTCCACGAGACTCGCCTCGTTTTTACTGGAATTTTTCAAAATACTTTTTTTCTGGTTCTCTCCGTTCTCTCCCGAAGCGGCCGGAGCCGTGTCCGAGGATGAGCTGTGATCCCTGGGATCGTACAGGCTGATCCCGCTCAGGATGGAGCCGGGAGATCCCAGCCTGACGCCGCTGGACGACAATTTGGGCGCGTACGGAGGCAGAGCGTCGGGGTCGGATTTCGGAGTCGCGGCTTCCGAGGGCTGGGATGAGTTGGCAGCAGCTCTGGCGAGGCGGGGGTCAAACTTGGGAGGGTGGGAATCCTTCCCGACTCCGTGGTGAGCGTCCGCGCTCGACAGTCTGTGGAGCCTGGGATCGACGTTCTTTTGCAAGCGAGGATCCCCCAGTTTGCTGGAGCTACTGGCATGGGAATCTGTGGATGGATCCAGGTAGCCGCCCCGGCCCGCCAGGCTGTTTTTGGCCTTGGCAGCGAGCCGGGGATCGGCCGGCACGGCGCCGGGGTGCGGATCATTCTTCAGATTCCGCAGTTTGTTCAGTCTCTGGTCGGCGATGAGCGGAGGGAGGGGTAAATTGATGGAAGAGACGGGGTCGGGTTTAGGCAGCGGGATCGGGAGCAGGTCCTCGGGGGCCCACACGATGTGCTTGGCAAAGTTGGGTTTCATCAGGGTCACGTCCATCTTGATGTGGCTGAACTGCCGCAGCTGGGAGCGGGGATCCCGTAACGTGACGCCCGGCAGGGGTTCCATGGGAATGAGGAAAGCTCGTTCCCTCAGCTCCCTCTCCGAGTCCTCCTCGTCATCGTCCAGCCCTTTCTGCTTGACCTTCACTCCGGCGTGGTGCAAATCCAGCTTGGCCCCGGCCAGGGAGGAGCCGGGATGGCCACCCTCGCTGACCTTGTGCATCCGCGGATCGCGGGCCAGCCGGGGATCCAGGGACGCCGACTCCGAAGGCTTCCTGGGATTGGGCCTCGGGGAGCCCCGCAGTCTCGGGTCAGCAGCCTGAGGCCCCACTCCTTTGTCCTTGGCCAGCCTCGGATCCGTAGGCATCCCAAGCATGTGCTGCTCCGTGGAATGTTGTTGCCGATTCCTAAAGTTTTCGCTTTGTTTCTTTAAGGTTTTGAGGATTGATTTAACACTGCTCCCCTCTTCCTCCTCACTACTGGAATACCAGTTGACATTGTCATCTAAAAGTCAAAGAAATGCCACAAAATTTAGATTATTCCAGCAAATAATCCTGGGAGAACCCAACACTCCCTAACGGGAAACTTCTCAGTAAAGTCAAAGTGAAAAGATCTGCTATGAAATCTCTCCCTGCGTCATAAAAATCACACCCTGGAATGACCAAAATCCATTTAACCGGAGAAGTGCCGTAACAACAAACCCTGGAAGCAGTGGAGACGGAATGTGACACAGCTTGGGAGTCTCTCCATATCCCCCAGTATTAATTGGGGAAAATAACCTGCTTTCAAACAATCCTTGTCAGTACTAGTAAAAAACCTGTATCCAAAATCTGAGTCTTGATGGAAGAAGGAAAAATAAAATGGGCCCTTGCGGTGGTCTTTAATCCAGGTAAATTATGAATTTGCTGCCTAACTTAAACCAAATCCCAAAGTTTGCAGGACAGGCTGAGATTCAGGAAGGGAAGAAATGACAATATTTTATTTTAAAGACTATCTGAGAAGGAAAAATCCTGCTCTAGAGGAAACAGATCAAGAGGTGCCACTGAAGAAACAGGATCAAGGATGCATTTCCGGTCCCGGCAGCGACAAACAGCCACTCTGCTCCAGCAAGGGATTTTTCCAAAGTAATCATCAACCAAAGGACCTTTTAAAATTATTCACTGGAGCTAGGATGGACTGAGCCTACGCTAAGATCCTAGAACAAGCTGGGAAAACGAGCTGAAAACACTGAGCTGCTGCTTGGACTTAGTTCCCAAGAACTGTGAACAGTGACACGGCGCGAGTCAACATCAACCGATTTGTTGACCGTGGCCATGGAAGTACGAGGAGAATTCCAACCAAATGCTGCTCACCTTCATCTTTGCTCATGGCCCTCTGTCCCTGGCTGCTGGCAGAGTCTCCATCCCGTTGGTGCTTCTGGCTGAGCCTCACGTACAGGGCCTTCTGCATGGCGGGCAGGAAGTCGGGCACGTTGATGCCCTGGTTGTGGCCCATGTGGCCACCTATGCAGTCTGACTCGCTCCCGCCCGGATGCGACTCCGGAGCCATGAGGTGAGCCTGGTGATCCGTAAACTCTCCGTGCCACGCTCCATCTGCGGGACAAAACCCCGGTTAGCGGTTAAGCTACAGAAGTGTTGATGGCTATAAACGTGGAATCGTGGAATGGATTGGGTTAGAAAGGAGCTCAAAGGACATCCGGTTCCAAGCCACGGCAGGGACACCTTCCCCCATCCCAGGCTGTTCCAATCTACATCCAACCCAGCCTGGAACAC